GCACACATTTTTTCCCCTAAAGGTAATCGAGGCACTTCAATCGGCACTACTGTCAACTGGCCTCAAAACTTCCAGTGGGACCCAGTTTCTAAGAACCTCTCAAGAAAACAAATGCACACATTTTTTCCCCTAAAGGTAATCGAGGCACTTCAATCGGCGCTACTGTCAACTGGCCTCAAGACTTCCAGTGGGACCCAGTTTCTAAGAATGGACTAACAAAGGATCTGAGTGATACTTGGGAAATTCTTTACCTCCTCTGAAGGTGACTTTAATCTCAAAACCAGCTTCAGTCTGTTCTTGGCTATTTATTGGCTGTCTTCTATGAGAAATGCACATCTATACAATTCTACTAGTTAATTCGATTTCTTTGCTTAGTAAAAAATTCTTACTACAGCTTTAAATATTTTAAAGGATTTGACTTTAACTTCTTCCCATTTCTACACTCATGCTGAAAAACTGTACAGCTTTACCTCACTTCACATAAATCACATCTGAAAACTGATTATAAACAAAATCATACTTTAAATAAACTAGGAAAGTTTACTACAGTATTTAAGTAATCCTATTAATAATCCTTCATTTTAAAAATATTTTTAATCTGGATGTTCAAATATCAAAGAGAATGGAAACTAACGTTCTTTGCCTATTTTTAGGCACTTAAATTATTTCACTTAATCCCCCACAATCCTGGGGAGATGGAAGGTATTATCCCCATTTTACAGGTAAGGAAAATAACCCAGGAAGATTAAAAATTTACCTTTGACCCAGGACTAACCCCAGTGGCCCACCTCTTCCTATCACACAGCTTCAAATATATATAAAACAGGTTAACAGAAAAAAAATTTTTAAATCATTTGACCTGGATCCCAATGTCACTTGCAACACCATCCAAATAAATAATCACAGGCCTGAAACTAATCTGTTCAAGTCTCATCTTTCTCATCAATAAAATGGGAATAATATTAGTCTTGCAAAAAGTTGCTGAGATGACTCAGTGAAACACAATGTTTGCAAAAATACAGAGCCATGAATTGTCACACAACAGCACTACTCTAGTAAAAGTGAAAAAACAGGAAATAACAGAGATTAGGGTTACACATCTTTAGGTCGTTACACTTGTTATGATTGTTTTATAATTAAAAATAAAGAAAAAGGTAAAGTAATTTGAAAATGCTATATTGTTATATAAATGTTAAGACATCAACTACTTTACCAAACCAATCCTTCAAGAGACTTTAACAAAATAGGTTACACAGACTGAAAAACCGCCTTCCGTAAGTAACAAATTTTCTAAAAGTTAAGTTTCCTAATTGTTGGGAACGAAATGAAAAGTGTAACATAGAAAAATTAAGTCCTATGCTAACGTAAATCTTAAATACAGAAAAAATAATTGATAAAATTTTCCTAATTTTATTTTCTAGTACCTATCTCTCAGAAGAGCTTATAGAATTAACATAACAAGAGATGAAAACTGTTTTGAGAAAAACATTTTTTAAGCTTTACAATATAAGATAGTCTAATTTTCAGGACCAACACAACAGTGTCTCATTTTTAAAAAACTGTTTAACATGACTTGTTTATTAAACACTTTCTATAACAAAACAGAGAATTTATTCTGAACATTTTCACCATTAAAATCCTGCAATCCACTTACTAAGTGATTTTACACAAATAAACTTCTTACAGATGAAAAGGTTGGATTATTTTGTTAATCCTTACTCAGCATGCTTTGAGGAAAACTAGTTGGTACCTTTCCAGTTTAGAGCCATGTGGACAAAGTGTAATATAAGCAGGTTGGTATAAACACTTTAAAGATCCTGGATGCCCAGGGATATCTGAATCACTCCACAGTAAGGTTATATTTCAGAGCAGGAAGACAAATTCTTGTTCATACATATACTAAAGGGCTTTCCACTGCTTTTTAAGGCCACAAATGGAAAAAACTACTACTGACAGAAAAAACACAATGCTGTGGTATCAAGTAAACTGCCAAAGTACTAAGTGAAGCATTTGAATTTTTTAAAAAATCACTTTTTAAGCATTTTGGAATCTGGAGTAAAAGTAGTTTTTTCTATTAGTGGGTAATCTAAGAGTCTTATTTCCTCAATTAAATGTTCATAAATTTATCTTGAATAGATAACTTTCCTTATGAGAAATACTATATTTTCATGCAAATATGTAGAATTAATCTAAAGCTCCAATTTTATTTTTTTCTCTACTAGTGACCAAATACTATAAATAAAACACTCATGGTACCTTTAACTTGTTGAACCATAAACCATATAACTTAGATGATTACCTACTCTACACATATTTTTGCCAGGCTTTTAAAAGCAAAGTGTATTACAGCTACATTCCTGGCTTGAAACCAATAATATGTTTAATATACAACTATTTTTATTAAAT